GACCCTGTCAGCCCTGCTTAATAGTTAACATTAATTCAGCATTTAGTCAATAGCTACTGTTTTCTTAAGTGTTCTTTTGGATTACTAATGTTCCTAGCACCCCTGTGAAATAAATAAGGTAATTATGATACTAGTATCTCCCTTTTACAAATGATACAGTTGACATGTATTCATTTGTCAAAATCACAAAGGCAAATGAACATTGGACATGGGGTTTTTTAAAGTTAACATAAGTAATATTGTCCCTCACTGGCTTTTTTTTTTTTTTTTTTTTTTTTTTTGTGCTTAGCCAGTGTGGACAGTGTTTCCAAATGTTTTCATGGATCTGCTTAAATAAATACACCATCTCATTCCTGGTTCATGGGCATGTAGGTTCTCTTCAGTTTCTCACTGTTCTGGATAATACTTGGCAAACACCTTTGAGTATGTATTTTTCCACATGTATTTTGTGTTAAAGATTTGAGACCAGGCTACATCCCAAAGTCCTTCCATTCTTCCACCTTCTTTGCCAGTAATTTACTAAGCTGGGTGTGATGCCACACACCAGTAATCCCAGCATTCAGTAAGCTGAGGCAAAAGAATTGCCACCAGTTCAAGGTTGGCCTAGATTACATAGTAAATTCAAGACTAACCTGAATTACACAGGAAGACCCAATCTCAAAAGAAAAAAGAAAGTTTTACCAATCTGAAAAGTCAAAACAATAGTATATAATTAGAATTTTTGTTTATTACTGAGATTGAGCACATTTTATAAGCACATCCTGATTATTCATACTTTATAATTATGTACAGTATTGATTTTTCAGTGTGGATTATTTGCATATTTTGCTCAGTTTTTTTGCTTATTGGTTTATAGGTGCTTGTTTATAGAAATTAACCTATTAACCCTCTTCCTCTTCAGCCTCTTGAGTGCTGGAATCATAGGTATGTGCCACCATACCTGATGCCCAGCCCTTTTTACTATACTTTGAGACAAAGTGCCTCTTAGATTGTCCTGGATATCCTGGAGCTTGTGATGCTTCTCCTTCCGCTTTCCAAGTAGATGATATTATAGGTGTGACCACCATGCCTGGCTAACTCATTACCATGTAAATGTTGCAGATATTGTCACCTATCCCATCTGTCTTTCAGTTTTACTTACGCATATTTTTGGTCATGTGTGTTGTGTATGTTGTCACTCCTTTATGGTTTCTACCTAGGTCCAGAGTGCTCTTTCTGAAACACGGGTATGATCTTTTCCCCTTCTTTGCTTCTCATGGAGAGGCAGTGTAGTTTTTGAGGACATAGCATACAGCTGTTTTACTATGGACCCTGGTTGACTGAGGTACTTGTTTTATACCTGGGAACCCCATGATACTAATAGCCACCTTGTGGACTTGGATAGTGTTAAGTTTAGGTGCTAGGTCAGTGCCATCACATAATCAATCCTTGGTAAATATTATCTGCTACCCAGTTTCATATATCACTTACTCTGTTGATTTCCACGCTCCAGCTATCGTGGTTGCTCTTGTCCTTCCCACTTCAGAGTCTGTGTATTCTGTAATCCTTTTCTTTACTCTTTTTGCCTAATTGCTATTTCCCCTGTATTCAGCTTGAATGTTATTTTCTTTCTTTTTTTAAAATTTTAGAGAGAAAAGAAAACAATTTCAAAACAACATTTAGGGGATAACAGTGGTATATAGATTGCACAGTGTTATCTTCAAATCAGTTACAGTACAAGACACCTGCATTTAATCGTCTGAACAATACTAGCACAAACCTTTCTTTTCAGTGAGCTCAGAGAAACCAGTAGTATAACTATTTTAATCCTCCTTTATGTATGTAGTTTCTTTCAGCTTCTCATACTAGTGAAACAATCCAGTGTTTACACGTGTGTCTGATTTATTTCACTAGTAAGTTACATCCATTTACCTATGAAAGTCTGCAGTTTATCTTCTTTATGACTGAGTAGTGCTCCATTGTATTAAAAATACCACATTTTTTATGCATTCCAAAGTGAATGGACATTTAGGCTGTTTTCAAGATCTAGGTATTACAAATTGTGTTGCTATAAACATAGATGCGCATATATTGCTGTGGTATGATGTTTTTAATTGTTTTAGGAATATACCCAGAAGGGGAATAGCTGTTCGAATGGGACCTCCAATCCTAGCTTTTGAGGAATCTCCACAGTGATTGCTTCAGTCTACACTCTCACCAGCAGTGGAGAAGCATTCCTTTTTCCCCATTTGTTAATGGTTGATTTATTAATGATAGCCATTCTTTCTGGAGTGAGGTGGAATCTCAACATTGTTTTAATTTGCGTCTCTTGAATGACCAGCAGTGTTGAACAGTGTTTCACATATTTATTTGCTGTTTGTATTTGTTTATCTGAGAAGTGTGTATTCATCTCAATTGCCCATTTTTGGATTGAGTATTTAAATTTGGGAGAATGGGTTTTTTTCAGTTCTTTACATGTTCTTTTTAAAAAAATATGTTTAATTGTTTTGAAGGTAGTAAAATAAAACAGAATAAGACAGAACGAAGCCAATTGAGACAGTATAGTGAAATTAGTACAGACCTTCACAACAATCCTTTGAAGAACAGACTATATGTTCTTTTTAAAAATTTTTTTTATTATTTTGAAGGTAGTAAAATAAGACAGAATGAAGCCAATTGAGACAACATAGTGAAATTGGTACAGAATTTCACAACAATCCTTTGTCTGAAGAACAGCGTGGGTTATCTCTTCACTCTGTTGGTGGTTAAATGTCATTTTCTTAAGGACATTTAGTGACCTCCTGGTTCAAGTTACGCTTGCCTTTATGTTTTTAGCATCCAGTACTTTTACTTGAGAGTACAGTACTTTAAAAATGAAAAAAATTTTTTTGTACTGGGCATTGAACTCGACCTCATGCTAGCTAGGCAGGCACTTATGCAGCTGAACTAGATCCCTAGCTTTTTTTTTTCCCCCTTTTTAAGACAGGATCTTGCTGTGCAGTTCAGACTGGGCTTGAGCTCACTTTGTACCCCACACTGGTCTTGAGCTTGCAGTGGTCCTCCTGCCTTCGCCTCCCAGGTGTTGGAATTACAGGCGTGTGCCACCATGCCTGGCTCTTTAAATGATTGTCTGCCCCCAGTTGAAGTATAGTTTTATCCCCTAACATGTGTTGATCAGTATGTGAGGAGTGAATGAGTTAGGAGCTGGAGTGCTACAGTTTAGTTGTTTGGGGGCTTGGGATAGAAAAGTAAAGAGAGGGGAGAAAGTATATTTAGATTTAAATATCACTCTCAAATTTTTGTTCACTTGTTCCTTTGAGAAGGTCTGGGTTTTAGTACTTATATATAACTATTTGGGTAACTGGCACTTAAATAACTTAAAAATCGTTAAAACTTTGTAATGAAATTATTAAAATCTGAAAAGACCTTACTTCATTTACAGATAAAAGTTTAACATAGTATAATACTGTATAAGATTGTATAGGTAGTAAAGCTGAAATAAGAATCTTGGTATCCCTGCCTCCCATCTAAAACTGTTATATTTTAGATAGCCACCATTTCAAGGAATATACAGTATTAAAATCTAAACTATTTGTTAGTGATTAAAATTGTTCATGAGAAGCAGTTTTTTGAGAAGGGTTTTTTTTTTTTTTTTTTTTTTTTTGTACCAAGATCAAAGTCACAACCTTGCACTTACCAGGCAAGCACTTGAGCTGCTGAGCTAAATCCTTAGTGAGAATCAGTTTTTAAGGGCTGTCATGTACACCCAAGATGCCGGTGATCTTGCAGACTAACACCCTCAAAGCTGCATTGTAAGGTGGCTATGCTCCTTACGTGTTGTTGCTCTTGTTTTCAGTTCCTGTCATGCCATCCTACAGCTTTTCGTCAGCTAGGCACATATAGAGGTCATGTCTTAGGTTGTTTTACGTGTTTATAAAGCAAGAATAAATAGATTTATTCGTTCAACAACATGGATGAACCTCAGCAACTTAAGTGAAAGAAATGCACAAAAGATCACATATTGTATGATTTCATTTATGTGAAGTATCGAAGAAAGGCAAAATCTTCTGGAGACAGAAAGTAGATTAGTGGCCTGAGCCTAGAAAGGGGAGATGGAGGAACCATACATCACCATTAAGCTTCTTTTCAGGGTGACAGAAATATTCTAAAATTGGATTATGGTGATGATTATATACTATTAAGCTACTAAAAATTATTAGAATGTGCATTTAAAGTGGGTTTTTCATTTTGTACTGGGGACTGAACCTAAGGCCTTCACACACAGCTACCTCCATCCCAAACCCTTTGTTATTTTATTTTGAAATGATATCTCACTGAGTTGCTAAGTTTCCCAGGCTGGACTTGAACTTGCAATCAAACCTCAGCCTCCCAGAGTGCTGGGACTACAGGCAAGGACCCCTACACTTGGATAAAGCAGAAAGTTTTATATGAGAATTGTACTCCAGTAAAGTAATAAAAAATGGGTTCAGAACTTACTTTGAATGTGTTCTCTTTGTAACTGTAGAATAACATAGTTGAAAATTTGCTTCTGCATAATAGTCTAGTGAAATGAAATGGAAAATAAGGAAAAATAGAAGATAAACTAGATAAAGTTCATAACATATGGTATCCTATTCATTGGGTAAGAAGAGCTCTGAAAACAAACACCATATCCCACCCTCAAAACCATAAGGAAATGTTTTTGTGGGTAGGAATCGTGGTACCAAGTGTGGTAATCTAAGTTTAGAGGACAGGATTCATACACATGTACTTGGTTATGATCTTTAAATTATCTTATCAAGGTCCTGGTGAGTTCTGCTCTTGGACTTGCTGTCTTTCTCCCTCCACCTCTTTCTACAAATGCATGCACTTCAGATTTAGAAAAGATACTGTTTTTTTTCCCCAAACCCATCTCTCCTGCCAGTTTTATTTTACCTCTGAACCCAGTCAAGTGCTGTGTTATGAGTGAGTAAATACTTTTGAGATTCAGGATGTTTGTGTATTTCTTTTTGATTTTTCAGCACTTTCATTTGGACCTTTGGATGCCCATTGGACCGACACTTGAAATCTGCAAGTCATCTTGTAGCAGATTGTAGCAGGACCATCAGGCCTTTCCTTTGTATGGGGAGGAGGTAGCCCATGTGCTGTGGAGATGAACGGAGAACAGCAGCCTGATGCAGGTATTGGATTTACTGAGCATAATTTAGTCTGCAGAGTATAGAATTGCATTACTTACCCATGTTTTATTGTTTGGACTTTTTACCACTAAACTGGAAGGTCTTTGAAGGCATGCATTGTTTTTCATTGCCATGAACTGTATCTGTCAGAGAACCTGACCTAAGGATACTAATATAATGTTTGTTGAAAAAATAAGTAATTTGTGCAGACAGACTTCTTTTTTAAGCAGTATTTTTATTTTGTTACTTTTAATTATTTTGAAATAGTTATCAGTTCAGAGGAAGTTGCAAAGATAACACTGACAGGTCTTGTGTTCCCTTCACCCATTTTCTCCCATTAATTCATTTTTGTATAGCTATAATATAAAGTCTGTGAAATGATATTGATATTAAGTCTTTGCAATTCTGTGTCATTTTACCAAACATGTAGATTCCTGTGTTTATTTCGTTAGTCAGGTTATAGATCTATTTCATTATCCATGAAGAGCTCCCACCCTCTTTTCTGTGTTTCTAACTCCAGGCAACTGTTCGTAATTTCTGTTACTTAAAGAATGCTACGTGCATAGAGTCAGTGTGTGACCTTTTACAAGCTTTCTCTTTCTCAAAATAATAGCCTGGAGATCTATTGAGGTTCTTGGCTATGTCAATACTGTTATTTTTTATTTCTATATAGCATTCTATGTATGTATTACCGTTTACTATTAATTGTTCATCTCTTGTAGTATGTTTTGGTTTTTTCCAGTTTTTGGCTATTAGAATGCATTATTAATAATTATATACATAAGATTTCATTTTAGGAGCCTTATTCTGAGGAGCACAATTTTATAAATTACAGCTTTAGTGAAGAAACTATCAGACTATTTTTCAGAGTAGCTGTACCATTTTCATTGTCATCAGCAATGTCAGAGACATAGTTTCTCTGCATTCTTACAGTAATTTGGTATAATCATTTTTATTGAAGTCATTCTGATGGTTGTACAGAGACAGTTCATCACGGTCTTTATATTTCCCTATTCACCAGTGGTGTTGAATATCTTTATATATGATCTTTTGACATCCCTACATCCTCTTTGATGAAGTACCTCTTCATGTCAGTGCTAATTGGTTTGTTTTGCTGTTGAGGTTTTGTCTTTTTTTTTTTTTTTTTGTCTTTTTCCTTTTTATCGGTACCAGGGATTGAACTCACGACTGCCTGCTTGCAAGGCAGGCACTTATGCCGCTGAGCTAAATCCCCAGCCCCGAGGTTTTGTCTTAAAAAAATAAAACTTTTTTGAAGTGTAATGTTTTGAGATATAATTCACACACCATAAGATTCACCCTTTAGGAATTCATAGCTCAGTTTTTGTTTTTACAATGCTGGAGGTTCAATCCAGAACCTTATACGTAGTAGGCAAGTGATCTACCAAGGAGTCATATCCCTCATTAAATTCAGTGGTTTTTAATATAATCACAAAATGAATAACCACCGCTGCTAATTTCAGAACATTTTAAAAATCCCTCAAACAAACCACTGGCAGTTATTTCCTGTTCTGTTGGTGTTCTGGAAATCAATCTGTTTGCTGTCTCTATGTATTTACCTATTTCTGATTTCTTTTGATTAATGTTTCTATTTTGTATGTTTTTCATGTTTTTGCTTTCAAAATACTGGTATTATATCTGAAGTAAGTTTCTTTTTAAAATTCTTTTGGGTATATTTTAGACATACTTAATAATAATATTCATCATAGGGAATTTGTACCTGTGCATGATATATCTTGCTGCTGTTTTTTTTTTCTCATTCCTTTTCCTTCGCTTCAACCCTTCTTCCCCTCCTTATTCTGTTGATTGATTTTGGTACTGGAGATCAAACTCATAACCTTGCACCTGCAAGGCAAGCACTTGTGCTGCTGAGCTGAACCCATTCTCCCCCCTTTATTTACAAAAGTTTTGTTTCCATTTTATCTTTATTTTCCTGCCCCACCCCACCCTGTTTCCTTTCTCACTTGAACATTTTCTTCCCATTTCACAGTATCTGTTACACATTTTGATACTTATTTATACTTTGTTTCTCATAGCGCAGGAAACAGTATAGTATTTACACATACATGTCTGATTTATTTCATTTGAGGATATGGTCTCAAGGTGCATCCATTCATTATAAATGTCTCAAGCTTATGCTTCATTAGAGTGGACTAGTATTTTGTTATATAAAAAAATCACATCTTCTTTATCATTGGTCAGCGGGTATTTGGGCTGTTTCCAAGATTTAGCTGTTACAAACTGTGCCCTTATAAACATGGGTATGCATATGTCACTGTGATAAGATGCTTTTAATTCTTTTAGGAAGGTACCACCAAGAAGAGGAATATCTGGGTCAAATGAAACCCCTGGTTTTAGTTTTTTGAGGCTCTCCATAGTGATTATACGAGTCTACACTCCCACCAACAGTGTAGAAGGGTTTCTTTTTCCCCACAGCCTCACTAGCATTTGTTACTGGTGATTTCCTTGGTGACAGCGATTCTTTCTTGAGTTAGAAGGAATCTCAACATTGTTTTAATTTGCATCTCTTGAATGACTAGTGATACTGAACATTTTTCCATATATTTATTTGCTATTTCTACTTCTACTTCTTCGTCTGAGAATTTCATTTCAGGTGTCTATTTTTGGTATTAGGTCTTTTTTTTTTTTTTTTTTTTTTTTTTGTCTTTCTCCTTTTTATTGGTACCAGGGATCGAACTCACGACTGCCTGCTTGCAAGGCAGGCGCTTATGCCGCTGAGCTAAATCTCCAGCCCCTTTTTTGGATTAAGTCTTTTAAGTTTGGGAGAAATCTGATTTTTTTTTTTGAGTCCTTTATACGGTATAGTCTACATATTAGGTCTTTGCCTGAGGAACAGCTGCCCCAAATTTTTTAGCACACTGTAGATTGTCTCTTCGCTCTATCAGTGATTTCTTTTGCTGTGCAAAAGCTTTTTAATAAAATGAGATCTCAGTTGTTGATTCATTGTGATATTTCCTGTGCAATCAGGGTTTTGTTCATAAAGTCTTTGCCTACACAAGTGTCTTCAAGAATTCTACTTATTCTGTCTTTTTAAAAAATTTTTATTTAAGGAGAAAAAAGAAAAAAAACCAAAAAGGGTACAAGTTATACAGAATTTCAGAAAAAATAAACAGTAGGAAATCACTAGTTAATTACATATTGTCGTCTTAGAAATAGTTGTTCAAGTTACAAAATTAAAGCATATAGAGGGGACTTTTCAAACAGTGAGACTGCAAACAGTTTTGTTCAATGATCCAACAAAACTCAGGAAGATGGTTATCTATCTTATACACTTAAATATATATGTAGTTATATCCTTTAGAGCACTTTCTTTTCCTTTCTTTTGTACAATGACAATTACACATTTTGGGTTTTATTACTCCCACAGTTCTTAGTACTTTTTTTTTTTTTGAAAAAAGTAAAACCAAATGCAACATAACAGGACAGAGTCAGTCAAATCAAAAGGATGGACATAATACATAATATAAAAACAAAACACAAGGTGATCAACAATGGTTACCATAATGCCTCTTGCTATCTTAAAAAGAATTGCCTATATCATCAGTTATAATAAAATTGAACAAAACAGTAAAGAATAAGACCAATAAAACCAAAACATTGGAGACATTAGAGGACTTCAAAAGAAGATAATAGTCAACCAGAATGGGTGCCATAATGAATCTTATTGTCTTCATAGTTGTTGCCTATACTTTCGAACTTGGTACTATCAAGCATTAACACAATAGAGGAAAATCAGTCAAAACAAGATGGTGAGAGCAATACAGGGTTTCAAATCAAGTTAATAGGAAATCAGTGTGGGTTACTGTAATATATCCTATTTTTTTATTTTTCCCTTAATTAAAAGGATAAAAATAAAAAAGATAATAAAGAGATTGAGATAAAAAAGAAGGTATAACAGCAAAACATTGCAGGTCAAAACATAGCCATTTAAGCAAAATACTGTTTTACCACAAGATAATCTCGACATAAAAGTAGTTACCATAGTGTCTCTTTCCATAAAATCTTTGGGTATAACTTCGTATATTGTAGCATCAAACATATCAAGACAATGTAAAACCGTTCAAGAGAATGACAGTATTACAGGGTATTTAGAATCAACTAACAGAAAATGAACAATGGTTTCTGTATAATCTCCTTGTCTATAAAAGTTTTTGTTTATATTATCACATATAATAAAATCCAATAAGATATAACAGATTAAAACCGATGGAGACAGAAGAACAAAAGCTTGATGGGACTTCGAAACAAGAGGATATTAAATCAGCACTACCTATTATGATGTCTTGTTTTCTCCAAAATAGCTGTTCCTACCATCCAACCTTCTCTGCCTTATTTCTGTTGAGCTCTTTTTCTGTCATTAGTTGTCAGTTTGTCTTCTTCATTTCGCTTTCTGCTCCATTCATTGTGGCCTCTCTGCCACTGTTTCTGGAATCTTGGTATTTTTCATTTTTAGAATATCCTGCAGTAATCTCTGTAGAGTTGAATTGGTGATTGCAAATTCCCCTAGTTCCTCTTTATCCTGGAAGCACCATGTTTTTCCATCAATTTCCAGGGACAGTTGTGCAGGATATATCAATCTTGGCTGGAGGTTATTATCTTTCAAAGCTTGAATTATTTACCCCCACGCTCTTCGTGATTTGATGGTTTGTGCCGAGAAGTCTGCTGTAATTCTGATGGGTGTTCCCTTGTAAGTGATCTGTTTCTGTTTTTTTTTTTTGTGTCTTTTTCATTTTTATCGGTACCGGGGATCGAACTCACGACCGCCTGCTTGCAAGGCAGGTGCTTATGCCGCTGAGCTATTGTCTCTGACGGCTTTTAATATTCTGTTCTTATATTGGATTTCTGGAATTTTGATTATTATATGCCTGGGTGTAGCTCTGTTTGGGTTGTAGGTGGCTGGGGTCCTGTATGCCTCATACATCTGAGTATCTTTACCTTTTGCTAAATTAGGGAAATTCTCCTGA